TTATCTCACTGGTGATTCCATTCTGTGTCAACCTAGTTCAGACTCTTCTGAATCAGCATTTTTATTCTCATTTTGAGAATATTTACTTTTTGCAATATCTTTAACATATTATTTCAATTCTAATTTCTTTTTTTAACCATCTTTTTACTCATTTAGAATTCCCAGGTTGCTTTCCCCCTTTCTTCTGTTCCTGTGCTATAAGTTGGAGAAATCTGATGTGCTTTAGTTTCTTCAATTAAATTCCACACCTATGACTGAAATATAATTTTTAAAGGAAAATATCCATGTGTTGAATTTTTTTGGAATCTACCAATTAAAAGAATAATGACAGTAATACATAAAATTTATTGGACTTTTTTTAGTGCTCCAAATAGAGTTCTGTATTCTTTACATAGGTTATTTCATTTATGGACTAAATTTTCTTAGTGGTGTCATATTGATGATGAGTCCAAATCTATCAATTATCAAATCAATGACCTTCTAGATTCTACTCATTTTAGACAAAGGAACTTAATAAGGACCTCGCCAAAAAGTGATGGTGATCTTACAAGGTACTGTGGCCGAGTAATTATGTGTGATTAAAATATGTAAATTCCAAACTCTCCATGAAACAAATCCTACACCTGGTACAATATTTATATTAAAATATAAGTCAGGGGAATAGTCTGCTTCCTAGTCTACCTTTCATGTGGACAAAATCAATTCTGTAATTTTAGACTATTTTAGTCATTTGACTCAGTACTGTTCCCATCTCTCTTAAGCTATGGTGTTCCATTTTGGTGGTCTTCAGCCCTCTGTTGAAGTTTCCATCTATTTCCTCTCCTCTCCTCTCTCCCATGTAGTTTCATTCTAGTCACAGAATTAGTCTTTCCAGCTACCTTTTCCAGACAGCATAGGATTTTGATATTCTGAATTTGTTCTCTGTCACTTCTTAACTATCTCATTTCTGATTTTGTTTTTTTCTACTTGTGTGGTAAAATTAGTAGAAGCAGTAATGTATTTATTTAAGATAATAAACCTTCTAAGTGTCATTCATTTTTATGTTGATGCAAGTCAGGCAGATTTCATATATAGCCCAGTGAATGGAAATGAGTTTATTCTTATGAGGCTTCCTATCTTGTGGCTAAAGCACTATTACCATAGAAGGGCAGACAAAGTCAGAGCACACTGGAAGTCATTGGTAAAATATGCAAAACTAGCTGAAGTTTCTGAGTTCATCAGAAGTAAGGTCAGTATAGAGGTTACGGAAATAATAATGCATCACTGTGCAAAGGACACATTAAAGTTAGAAGGTCAGAATCTCTATTCCAAACACTAGGCTGAAATATGCTTCTCTCCCAAACTGCCACTTGCTGTAGGAATAGCTATGTATCCAGGAGCCCCTGAGGCCCTTGGGGAGTTCCAGTTGCTCCTGCAGGGACTTCTCACTGCATATCCCAGCACATGGGCCATTTAAGTCAAACTGTAGCAAGTTGTACTAGAAAAAGATTATGACCATTTACAATAATAAAATTGATTTTGAAACAATGAATATATGAATAACAATTGGTTCTAATAATGTCTAAAATGTATACAAATACGCTTTATAAATGTTTACTTTGAGATAACTTCTAGAATTTTGTTCAACTAAAATATCTTTGTTTAAAGTATAAGTACCCATTACTAAATAACAGAATTTTTTAAAGTCACACAGAATTGTAATTCTATCAGCCCATGGTTAAATAATCATGATAATCTAAAGTGTTCTCCGCACTTTAAACCATAATGTCTACATGCTCACATGAACACACATCCAAATACCCAGCATAGTTTTTAGAAATGCTTCATTTTCTGCTGATTCACTGCATCAAATTGACCAGATAAATTTGCTATAAACAAATTCCTGCATCACTTAAAAACTCTAGTGTGGTTTTTAAAGTATATCTCTTCACTAATTTTTCTTCTGTATATTTCGTTTTCTGGAGCTTTTTGTAAAACATGCAAAATTTTCCCTTTGGACCTTTATATTCACCAGCCCACTACCCATAGAGGATTTACATTCCATAAGACAAAACTTAGAGCCTTTAAAATCCTGTTTTTCCTGCAGTCCTATGTTATAGAATATGCTGGTGAGGTGTTCAGTATATTTTTCTCAAAAATATATCGATCATATTATTACTTGAGTTTTAGCTGTTTTCTTATTGCTGTGTGATATCCATAGGAGATGACACACAGCTAATAAACATGAAGAATCGAAAGAAAACCAGGTACTATGTCTCTGCAGTGGAGTGAGTGGTGAGACTGTGGCTCACCTTTTAAAAATCTAGAAGAAAGCAAATAGACAACAATTATATAGCAATGTCTATTCCCTTTTTTGAGTAAAAATCTCTCAATTTAGACAATTTAATTCTAATAAAGAACATTATCTAACAGGAAGATACACTGTTACTGGCAATGGTAACATTCCTGATGCTCTTAATTAGGTGACACATTTCAATTTTAATGATAAATTTATTTAATAGTACTTGAAATGTGTTAATTGATTTATTAATTTTCCCATTTAATTTTTTAAGTCATTTAAAGAATATCAACCAAGTTGGAAATCAACGTGTGATTCACTTGATTCATTCAGTGCAAAGATGGAATGTGCAACAAAGTGACAGTTCTCTCTGAACACTTATGTTTCTGCTAGGATGGACATTGTAGAAGGAGCAAACTTTCTCCTGGTGTTGTTAATTAAAATAAAAATTTACAAAGCCTGACATCCAGGAATTAGTAAGTAATCTTAAGTGCCAGGTACTGTGCTAGGTGAAAACCTTACAGGGATCCCATCACTCTGTTGCTTTAAATCTTCCAATGCTTCTTTACAGACAGAAAATAAAACTCAGACTTTCAACTTACTCTGCATGGCCTGTATGACAATTTCCAGTCACATGGCTACCTCATCCTTCCTGGACAACAGCAGATAAAAGTGCTACCCATGCTCACTTATCCTGTTCAGTTACTCTGTGACATTATCTTGTTTACATGTTTGGTGTTCTGCTTTTCCCTATTCTTCCTCTCCCAGTTTCCTGTATCTCCACTCCCACTAGAGGATAGGTACCATGGGAGCAAAAATCCTGAATGTATATTGTTTTTCACCATTCCCATGGTGCATAGAACAATGTGTGAATATCACAATTCTTCAATCAATATTATTTGAATGAATTGATGACTGACTACCCTTATTCAAAATAACCTTTTAAGATAGGTACAATGTTTTCTTATGCATGAGAAATGTTTCCTGAAATCAGCTAAGCTAATTAAGTGAGTCTCTAGAGTTTAGAATTCATTTGATCTAAATGAATGGAATACTTTGTACTATTCTCTTTTGATCAGTGGAGATATTTAAATAATTCTGGGTGAAGTCAACTTTAAAGTACTATGGACTAGGCAATTTACTAAATCTTATGCAGTACATTAAGAAAACCTTGTTCTCAGAAACAAAAATTTTCTTTTAATAAATTAAATGCAGTGCTTCCGTGTTTGAAAGCACAGACAAAAATAAAGATAAGATTGGTTGTTATTTTTTATTATTATTTCCCCATCTCTTTAAAGTTCATTTGAAACTTTTTTAAAAAAAGAATTCACCAAAATTATTTTGAAAATGGTACCTCACTAAAATTTAGGAGATAACAACAAAACACCCCAACTGATTAAATATAACATGTTTGTCATTGAATTTATTTCTGAACTATCTTTGTTACAATCAAGCTTAAGACTGTACAATTTTCTTTGTGTTTTTTTAAAGATTTTATTTACTTATTTTTAGAGAGGGAAGGGAGGGAGAAAGAGAGAGAGAGAGAGAAACATCAATGTGAGGTTGCTGGGGGCCGTGGCCTGCAACCCAGGCATGTACCCTGACTGGGAATCGAACCTGCGACACATTGGTTCGCAGCCCGAGCTCAATCCACTGAGCTATGCCAGCCAGAGCCTTTGTGTTTTATTACCAAACTATTTAATGTCATTTTTATACTTTCTAAACTTTATCAATGATAAATCAAAGTGCATATCTTGCTAAGTCACCTGTTACGCATCTCTCTGTATGAAGCCACCTTTGCTTTTCTCTTGACAATTGACAGCTAAAAGGGGGAAAAACAACTGTTTCATCTGCTGTTATTCACTAACATACTCCACTAATTAATTTCTGGTATAAATCTATCAACCTTGCACATGCACATATACAATAGCTATTTCTATTAAAATCAACTCAAAATTGAGATTTAAAGTGTTATAATTGCTTAGAATAAAGTGCAAAGTAGAAGGAATTTAACATATACACAAATAGTAACGATGAGTATGAGGTACTGTTCACAGTGTCTGTGGTGAGACATCAACAAGTTCAACACAGATAAGAATTTGAACAAGTAATTTTAATTTTTACCTTATTTCTATTTGGTGAAGGCAAAGGAAGACAGAGAGAGAGGATTTGTGAGAGGTCTCTGAAATGTCCTTGGCAAAGATAAAGAGATATTCACTGACTTTCCAATGAAGTTAAGGTGTAAACAGAATAAATAGATTTCTATTTGGAATGTGATAAAGGGCAAGTTTGAGGAACCAAACAAGGAGGTTTCATGTGGTTTCTGCTTTTAAAAAGTAGGAAAGGTAACTGTTCAGAGCCCCCTGGAACAACTTCTCTGGATATTTCAACAATATAGATAATACATAAAGAGTATTAACAATGTCCTTCTGTGTGCTTATGAGTAGTGTCCAATATGTCTGCAGGAAAGCAGATAACTCATCCATTTGATAGGTCAAGAAAAAAACCACAGAGTGCTCAAAGTGGTAGTCCTCTTGTAGCAGTTGCATCCATTGAAGATTAAATATGTCAGTGAATCTGAAAGTACTCTAAATTATAAAGCACCATCCAAATGAAACACATAGTTCTTTTAGCATTGAATTATAATAATTTAAAATTTATGATATTGAAATCCTTTTTGCATGTTTCCATATTTAAGATGTGTGTTTTGTGTGTGTTTTAGATGATCACAAGGACTGTTCTGGTGTATCTTTACACCTCACCCGCCTGCCGTAAGTACTTCTAGTTATCTTAGCTGAGTGAAAACTTTTGAGATGTTTGAGAACTTAAAAGTGGAAAATCCACCATATTAGTTATCTATTGTTGTCTAACAAATTACCCTACACTTTAGTGGTTTAAAACAATTACTTATTGTCTCCTGTGGGTCAGGAATCTGGGCATAACACAGCTGTGGCTAGTTGTCTCACTCTTGGCTAGTGTTTCAGTCATCGGGGGGGCTTGACCGGGGAAAAGGCACTTCCAAAATCGCATACATGACTATTGACAGGATTCAGTTCCTCTCTGGCTGTTGGCTAGAAGACTTCCTCGCGCCCTTCTTCTGTGGGCTCTAAACAAGCCAGCTCCCACCATGCAGCTGGCTTCTGTTGTAGCCAGCAGGGGAGCAAGCAAGAGAGGGCATGCAAGGTGGCAGCCAGAGTCGTTTTCATAGCCTAACCTCACAAGTTACTAAATAATATATGCCTGATAGGTAAAGAAAGTGGTCAGACACAAGTTTTCATAGTCTGACTTCTGTCAAAAAATCATTTTTTCCATATTCTGTTTGTTAAAAATAACACATTACTTGATTCAGTTGCTAGGTCGGCCTACACTTCAGGGAAGAGGATCAGACAAGGGCATGAATATCAGAGCTAGGAATCACTGGGAGGTATATTAGTCAGTGATCTCCAGAGAAAATGAACCAATAGGATGTTCATATACATAGACATACATGAAAGAGGTTGGGACTGATTTACTTGAAGGAAACTGTTTCACACATTGTGGGGGCTGGCAAGTCTGAAACCAGAGAGGTTGGCTGGCAGGCTGGAAATTCTGGAGGGTGTCAGTGGTGCAGGCTTGGGTCCAAAGGCAATATAGAAGCAGAATTCCTTCCTTTTTGTGGGACCTCCATCTCTCCTCTGAAGAGACCTACCCACATGGCGGACGGTAATCTGTTTTACCCATAGTCAGTGATTTAAATAGTAATCATATAAAAAAAAATACCTTCACAGCAACATACAACCAGACTGGTGTTTGATCAGACAAATGGTTCCTGTAGCCTAACCAAGCTGACCCAGTTAACCATCCCAGGCACCATTTACACACTGGCCTCCACATTCACCATGCCATAACAATGTGTATGAAGCTATTGGCCCAAGAAAATGTTATTTTTAGAATAAATTCTACCTTGTTTATTTTGTTTTAAATTTCATACGAATCATATTTTATAGACCAAATGTTGAAGTAGGTATTATTTTTCCAAGGCAATGTTGAGATAAATATTACTGTTTCCTGCAGACAGCCCTTAATTGCTGGCATGTACCTTCTGATGTCTGTTGACACTGTTATACCAGCAGGGCAGAAAGGTGAGTAATGATCTTTTAGAATTTACCATTGCCTCATTACCTAATTTATAAGAATGGGTTTAGTGTATAGTTATGATAAACTTTGGAAATAACCACTATTTTTGAGTCCCTGAAAATAAACCAATTCTTTATTATCCTTGGATTTAGAAGTAGAGTTTTACATTGTTTTGAGCAAGTACTTTATTATTTTAGATTATTTTAGTGAGATGCTAAGAATTGAGGCCCATGGGTAGGTAGTGGGTTTTATAAATTAAAGAATAAATCCTTAGTATATTACAAATCCATCACCTGTTCTTTAGATGCTAAAGACGACCTTCATAACATGCTATGGCATAAACTACTGCAGAGAATATAGGGTTCAAAGTCAAGAAGCTAGCAAGCTTCTTGAACTTAACATACTGGGTTTATTACAAGAAGCTACTGGAATAAGTAAAATATTTTTATCATTGTATCTGATCTTCTGATGAAAGTTCAATATTGAATGTTTTTTATTTGTGTTACTGGGAATCTCTTAAAGCTAATGACATGTATGGTCTCAATTTAACTGTTGACTGGTATAATATAAAAAACATTTATTGAATCACTACTGTGTGTTAGACTATGTAAGGAAGGAAAAGTGTATGAAATGGTCCCTTCTCAATAGGAGCTGTGAATCTAGTTATCTTAGGTGTTTGCAATCAATTGTTCAAAAATCCTGTTTTAAAAATTAAAAAAAAAACAGGCCCTGGTTGGGTAGCTCAGTTGGTTGGAGCATCGTAATGATTCACCAGGGTTGTCACTTCCTTCCACAAATGGATGTCTCTTTCTCTGTCTCTCTCCCCTCTCCCTTACTATCTCTTTCTCCTTCTCTAAAATCAATAAATAAGAAATTTTTTAAGTATGAAATAATAAAACTTTTAAAGTTTTTCAACTGTGTAAAGAGCATGATAGAGGTAACAATTTAAGCCACTATGTTCACTCAGAGGGTGTTTTGATCTGGCCCTAGTCATTTTGTCTATGAATGATATAAAACGTGAGGATGAGGGGTTCTTAACTCATGTCAGTCAGGGGGCTGGCACATAGTAAATACATAATGTTTGCTTAGTATGTAGGTGCATGTTTGCTTCATAAGAAAACCACCATGCCTCACAGCTTGTGAATACCTTATATATACTTTTAGACAAGGATAATGTTATTTTCCAGTTCAATAGTGACTTTTTTCTGTGTTTTTATTTTTAACAGTGGTGAATTCTGACATTTCATGTCATTATAAAAAATATCCAATGCATGTCTTTGCTTATAGAGTTCACACTCATCATTTAGGTAAGGACTTTAACCTACCTGTTAAATTATAAATATTTACCATTGTGCTTACTTATGCTAAAAATGTAACATGCAAATTGTTTGACATTAAATCTGTTTCAATGAAAGCAATTTTGCTCAATACATTGAAAGTCAGTGTGTTTTTTTATCATTTGTTTTCATTAAAACACCTAACATTTGGATTCAGAAAATATTCAGATTTTATTTTGAAATAGGAAAGCAAATAATGCTTTTTATTTTTTGAATACTTTATTGTATGATATGATTATAATTTGTGTTCATTTCAGGTAAGGTAGTAAGTGGATACAGAGTGAGAAATGGACAATGGACACTGATTGGACGCCAGAGCCCCCAGCTGCCACAGGTGTGTAGACTCTAGTTTAATTTTGAGAGAAAAAATATTAAGCATCAGATAGTAACTTTCAAAGCTCTCATTAGGGTAAGACAACTGTAACTGAACAACAACAACAAAAAGAAATAACATCAGAAAAAAATTTCTCTAGTATCTAAACATCTCTAACGCTACCTTTACTGTGAATAACTTAACTTTTTACAGCTTCCAACTTGGTGGGTTTTTTATTTAATCAGTTCTCTTAATATTTCTAAACGTGGTGGTGGTGGTGATGGCAGTGGTGATGATGGTGGTAATGGTGGTGGTGGTGATGTTGGTTGTAGTGATGGTGGTGGTGGTGGTGATGGTGGTATGGTAGTGGTGATGATGATGGTGGTGATGGTGGTGGTGGTGATGATGGTGGTGGTGATGGTGGTGGTGGTGGTGGTGATGGTGATGGTGGTGGTGATGGTGGTGGTGGTAGTGGTGGTGGTGTGTGTCTCTTCATACTTTCCACCCAGGGTTCTTCAAGCCTCATGTTATTAAAGCATGTGGTTCTGGACTTTATTGGTAATTTTAATGAATCTTTGTGTTTGACTTCTTGGCAGGCTTTCTACCCTGTGGAACACCCAGTAGATGTTAGTTTTGGTGACATACTGGCAGCAAGATGTGTATTCACTGGTGAAGGCAGGACAGAAGCCACACACATTGGGTATGCGTCTACACATTTCACTATTTAAAAAAGCTGTTATTGGGATAAGGCATGACTATGGGTGGCAGTTTTCTTTGTGAATGAGTTGTGCATTTTTCCCTGTCATGAACAATCACAACAAAGTGTAGAATCATTTTAGGACTGATCGATTTGGATAAACATGTGCATTTTAGGACTGATTGATCTGGAACATGTGCTTACTTTTTTATGCTTCATTTCTTCCTGTTTATTCAAGACTTTCAAAATCATGCCTCTACATATTATGGTTACCACCAGAGTTCATATTACTCTTCTTAATAAAGAAAAAATATATTGATTATAAATTTTTTTTCTGCAAGTGGCCTTTTTTGCCCAGTGTTCAAACTTAGACAAACACATGGTCTCTGCCCTTGGTGCTACACATTAATTACTCAGAGTCATGATTTTTTTCCTCCTGTTAAAACTTCCGTATACTCAATGTTTTCCAGTTTAGTCTACCAAATGAAAATAATAATATTCAGCACTTTGCAAAAGAGAGTATCAGACTTTTACTTTTAAATAATTTTCAAAATATTGAGCCTCCTTAAAATAAGTATATTTTATAACACTAAGTAAAATTTTCAAAGCACTGTGAACTCTTTCAAAAAAGTTTTGCCACAATTAAAAATGAAGGATAAAGCCTCTTATCATATTTCTTTTGTTAAATAAAACTAAGGAACCTTCTTTGCATGCTAAACTAGGTTATAAAATATTTACTGATGCCGCCTGGAAGTTGGAATTTTAAACCCTTTATCTTTTGATCAGTGAGAAGTTAGAGAAAGCAGGCATCTGAAAATATACATTAGATGCACTGAAGATGATTCTTAATGATGACAGCCCTCTGTGTTGGTTGTCAGGGGAAAGGGAAAAGGTACTGATACAGGTAAAAGGAAATAAAGACCCTTGAGATGGTGAAATAGATTTTTTAAATTACTCTAAAACTGTTTTTATATTAATAAGCACCAAATTTAGGGCTAAAGATAAAACATTTTTTAATTATTAATTTATATTAAACAATGAGTTTTCAACACCTTTGGTTTTGGATAACTTTGATAAATTTGGGAAGTACACTTGAGGAAACAATAAAATTATTAAATTACTTGAAATGGTAATAGTAAGAAAAGGGTTGACAAAGCAGACATAATTAGATTTGGGGAGTCTGACAATTCACTTCTTAACAATCTTTAAATACCTGAAGTAACATGATTCCAAGGGCATTGATTAGCTGTCTCTGATTTATATTAATGTAGAGCCCCAGGAACTTAAATGCCATTGGTTATTTTATGAACCTTTGTAACAGGTGAACTAAGTAGTAAAAATAACCTTTTCAACACATTGTGTGTATTAGTCTACAAATTTAAGTTCTATTAAGAATTAATAGAGTGTTTTGCTTAGATGTTTCTTTACAATTTGGTGGTGGGGTGAGGGTCCTGCAATTTTGTTCAGATTCTGCCCTTTGAGTGCCCTCTGTGAGGCAACATTGACCATAGAAATTAATGACACGATAGTGCCAGAACTTGAGGCCAAAGTGATCCCTGGAGGCCTCTCACGGTTTCATGAGTTCAGAATAATTCTGTCTTTTTTGACATGTGCATTTTGCTTTAAGATAATGCCCTAAAGTGACTATACTAATCTATCTTTTTGTAAATCTCACATGGGCTATAGAGATGCCATTTTTTAAATAAATGAAACAAAGATATTATAGGAAATTAAGTTATTGTGTAAGTCCACAGTCTGAATATTTAATTTATGTTAAAGAAGCAATTTTCTTCCAGAGGAATGATAAACTCATAAGACAAGTTGGAATGAATGTAAACATGAATTGGATTCACATAACAATGCCTAACACTCCTATAGCGCATAATATGCTTTTTAGTGTTAGAAAGATAGTAGCCCCAGTGTATCTGTGTTGTAAAGTAATGGATACCACTTCCATAGGGTACTATGGAATCATGGTGAGAATGTTACCAGTAAAAAAAAACTGGTATTTTATGATGTCTATTAAATTAAATGATACTCTGTAAATCTCCTCCCCCACTTTTCCCACCTAGTCCCCAACCCCTGGCCTATGAACTGGTACCAGTCCCGGTTTGGGCCTATTAGGAACAAGGCCACATAACAGGAGGTGAGTTTGTATTTGATGTAATGCACTTTAGTCACCCCAAAACCATCTCTCCCCGTGTCCCCCACCCCACATCTGTGGAAAAATTGTCTTGCACGAAGCTGGTCCCTGGTGTCAAAAAGGTTAGGGGCTGCTGCCCCAACCCATTTGTTAGAGCCATGAACATGAAGTCAACTTAGATATAAATCCCACGTCCCACGTGTCCAAAGGTAGTCTGGGGTCCATTGATTCCCATTCTATGCACTAGGCGAACTATCAGCTTCATGTTTTTAACCTTATTCTGCAGCCACCTGGAAACTAGGTTCTACAAGGAAATTGTATCATCAGTGGCCTGCTAGGAAGGTTTTCGGTTGAATGATTCTTCCATTCAATCCAAGCTAATCTCTGTATTCAATGAGAAATATAGGATGGGGGGAAATGTTGTTTAGTTTGAATAATCATATTTAACTAATAAAAAGCAGTTTAAAAAATAGGGACTGATTATCTGATCAGCAGGGTTTTATCTCAAAGCACAACCATTAAAAAATAGGTATGTTTAAGATAAGACATATTAATAAATATATTTAATGGTAACCTTTTTAAATCTAGATACATTAGAATACTTTTTAAATAGCAAATATGAATAGTATAATTTAGACAAAGTTATACCAACATAGTATTAATTAATCTATGAAGAAGCAATATTTTGTGCCTGACTGCATTACGTATTTTATATTCAGCCCAACACCTAAATTCATTTCAAATGTTTATTTAAATTTAAACAAAAAAAATTTAATTATCTGTCAATTAAGCTAATTAAGTGAGCTAATTTGCCTAAAATTTATATGTTAAAATTTAAAATTAATTCTTGAGAATCAGTTAGATTTTTTAGTCATAGTGTTAATTTGGAACCAGTTATTTCATGTAAATATGAGAATGTCTAATGAATATTCCTAGAAACTAACCACAGCACTTTAATCAGCATTTAAATTTGTATTATATGCAAAGATAAAATTATATGATCAATAATTTCTTAATGTATAAGTTTAAAAGCACCATGAAACCTCATAGAAAACAATTAAGTTTTATAAAATAACTTTTTTAATTTTCATATTTCTGTCCAAAACTAGTAGTACCCATCATTGCTTATTTTTAAGTCTCACATCTGTTGGGTGTAAGGGCCAGGGGCCAGTGATCAGAGAATCATCAAAGTGTGGTATCACTGCCTGAAACGCAGTCATGGTGTGTGCACAGTAATATTTGGTGTTTTTTAAGTGACGCATTTCAGAATACTGGGTGCCTTCTTGAATATTTATTATATATCTTTATAACATGAAATAATTTATTTTTATAGAAACCCTCATAGAACCTGGATGGGTGGATGGATGGATGGATGGATGGATGAGTCAGAGATAGATAGATAGATAGATAGATAGATAGATAGATAGATGGAATAGATAGACAGAAATATTTTTTAGAAATGCCATAGATCAATTAAGTTTGCAAAATTGATCTGACTTGGCAGTATGATGTATATCAGCAATAACAGCTTATACCATAATAATTTGTGAACATTTATTGACACAGATTATTCATTCTTTCATCATTCAAAAAAAATGTATTGAAAGCTTACTATTTCCAGGCTCACCACACTTTGTCAGATTTAAAGCTAGCTGATCTAAATAAGTAGTTATTTCATAAGCACTTTATTATACAAGAAGGTAACAGAAAGACACCACTGTAATTTTGGGATGTAGCTGATGGCAGCAAGTGTTGGAGAGAATTACACAAGCATTCGGGAATGTTAAAGGGCCATTTAATGGAGTCAGGGCAGATGTGTGAACACAACCTTCCTCCATATTTTCTCACGTTAATAATTATTAAGATTCACAGAGGTGAATTACAGAGTTGTTCTCTATGGAAAATAAGGGCGGGTGTGTCAGAGCTCTCCCTTAGGGATATTGAAAGCCATTTCTCTGGCTAAAATTAGGTTTGAGGTGTTTTTTTTTTTAGTGAAAGATGAATATGAAATAAATTGGGCAAAATGTGGCACTAAAAATGACTTGAATCCTAACATGTTTAGAATAAGATGGTTTCTCTGTCAGATAGGAGCTGAGAGTTATCTTGACTACAAGTTTAATTACAGGCAGAAAGGAATAAAATGTGACCTTTTTTCAGCTCTTTAATGAAACTTTCTTTGTGATAACAAAGATTCTTAAATTATTTGATCAACTCAATTTTGCATTAGAACCAGGAACTACAAAGGTGAGCTGATTAGGTGCATCACTAAAGCACATGTTCAAAGTGAACATGAGCACGGTGCTCCCAAACAGAGTAAAATGGGGAAGGATCTGTCTATAGATTAATTGCAAGTTTTATTTATTATTATATAAATGTATTAATTTTTTCATTAATTTGAGAAGCTAATATGGTTATTTTCCTTTCCTTCTCTGCCAGATGATTCAAGGTTTTTAAGCTGGAACCGCAACTTAAATTTCTTTTCCCTCGTTTCTCTCTCCTCATCTGTACATTTCTCCTCATTCTGAACAGTAGAGGGAGGATAATGGGGTGGGAAGCTCTGACTTATTACTTTGCTCCCAGCCATTCCTTTTATAGCACGTAATTTCTGACCGACTCCAAGGCTGTGAAAATGTAATTCTTAGGAATGGTGCATTGACACCTAAGAATAAGTGTAGCGAACAGGTGTTTGTTTGGGGTTGCACTTCCCCACTCGCTTACCTTTTCACAGGTGAGACAGTAACACGGACAGGTGTTAGATTCAGAAAGTGAAAAGCCAAATTATTTCTCAAGCATAAACAGAGCTTCTCATGGCAGAGGCTCATTCCTCTAATCTCTCAGGAGCTCTACATTTTCAGAGCTGAGAGGCACATCTCTGGAAAAGGTTTTTATTTTTTCTTTCCTTTGCTGATGTCATTACTGTTGCTATGGAGAGGAAGGGAGTGCTCCATGACAGTGCTGGAAAAATCAACACGGACATATTTCTTCACAGCAAATAGTCCACTGCACAACGTGTTTTTTATTAGTGTAGGCTTGCTAAAAATTGTCAGAATTAATACCAAAATGGAACATTCCTTTGCCCAACCTATCTTGACATATAAAAGTTTGTGGTGGTGTACTTCAATAATTTCTTCCTAATAATAGTGAAGAGAATGAAAAATATAGTAACCCATGTGAATCAAGGAAGAAAAAATATGTTTTATAAACCACTAGGCATTATTTATATTACTGAGAACATTTTTCTTGGAAATGTCCACCCCACTGTTGTAAAATCTATTTTTAATGTTGAGTCATTTAGTTGTACAGCGAGATCCCATTCAGGGCTGAGCCCTTTGAAGAGGTTAGGGCTGATTTCCTTTTGCATCCTCTCTGAGGCCCTCTCTTTTGCTCTGCTGTATAAGCCAAGGTGCCAAGTCAGATGTCAGGGATATGGTTATGATGTCTTACTATCAACACATGACTCGTAATTCATCTTACCATGAAGAAGGAGGCAGTAACCAAAAACAACTTCCATGGTCTCAGAGTTAAATGGAAAAAGCCATTTTAAAGACTTGTAAATAATATATGACAATTCTGTTGAAGTGTTTTGAATTTTAATGTTAGTAAGTAAATAATTGCGATTTTTCCATGAGAAAAATACTTTGCCCGATCTCCGAGTTTTAGCAAACAGAAGAAAGACTAAGAATGAAAGGATTATTTAGGAGAAGAAAGACAGTTATTTCACTGCTGCTTCAATGCCATTTCCATCTGCGGTCTCTGGTGATATCCACAGAGTGAATGCAGACGGATATGCACTCCATTATTAAGTGGAACTATGCCTTTGACAATGTGCTTTTGGTATTGAAAACTGTGATGGGTTTTAATGAAAGCCATAAAATAAATGCACAGTATTTCCACCTTTGAATCCATTGCTGGCAGATTTACAGGTGGCATTTTTCTTGCATTAGAATGTGTTTTATGTGACTGGCTGATTTGTTGTGTCTACTCTTTTCTGCCTGCAGTGGCACATCTAATGATGAAATGTGCAACTTATACATTATGTATTACATGGAAGCCAAGCATGCAGTTTCTTTCATGACCTGTACGCAGAATGTAGCTCCAGATATATTCAGAGCCATACCACCAGAGGCCAATATTCCAATTCCTGTAAAGCCAGATATGGTTATGATGCATGGACATCACAAAGGTAAAATTGTTGTAACTTAAAGTAACACATGATTTTGTATTTTCTATTTCCTTATGTGTCTCACATGACTATATGATTAATTTTTTAAATTATCATTCATCTATCAAACCATTACATGTGCCCCCATAATCTGATTCCTTCTTTACCTTCTTTTATACCCTACTTTCCCTCCTGACATGCCTCCATCAAAAGAGCTAAACTGAAAACTCTCAACTAGTGATGTAAGAGATTAGTTTGGGGACCAATTCCATAAATGTAAATCTTTCTTCATTTAATTCCTGTTTTTCCCATTTCATTCCTTCTATAACCAGTAATGACTTACACAATTTTTTAACTTAAGCACCATGTTCTAAAGAGTGCTACAGTTTGCCAGTGAAAATGGTTGTCATCTCCCACTGTATCTTAAATCATCTGTTTAATGGGTCTTGTCAAGCACAGAACAATTCTTGGTTTATGAGGCACTACCAGCCTTGGACTTTTTTTATCTCATTCTCAGAATTGTTGCAGAATGGTCATAATAACTCATTTTTTTTGCTTTAGATTTGCAAACCCCTCACACTGTTTTATTGAATAAAGTATGTTGAGACTTTAACACATTTTGCAAGTTCAGTCTTAAAATTCCAGAGCAACTTATTCTTTCTAGTAGAAATTTTATGAAAGAAGTTAGCATAGCAATCAGGTAATTTATTAAGATCCTAATAGAGATCAATTTTTGGTCAAGATGGAGGTGTAGGTAGACATGCTTCACCTCCTCGTGCAACCACAAAAGGAATTACAGCTAAATCTCAAAACAAACAACACCCAAATTGTCAGAAAATTGAACTGTATGGAAGTCTGATAACCAAGGATTTACAGGAGCCACATTCATTCAGGTGGGGTGGGGGGCAGGAGGTAGAGGGCTGGGTGGAAAGGTCAGGAGACGAGGTGTGGCATGGAGAGCTGGCAGCACTGGTGGAATGGTCCCACATTCATGTGAGGTGGATAAAAATCAGGAGGGGTACCTTGGGAGTGAGCAATCCCAGCCCCAGGCCAGACCTCACAGCCCAGGGTTCCAACACTAGGAAGATAAATCCATGTAACTTCTGGCTGTAAAAACCAGTGGGGGTTGGGGCAGCAGACAAAACTGCTGGATATTCAGAAAACTCTGCTTAAAGGACCTTCATGGTCATAAAACATGCTCAGACCCACCCACTCTGGGATTCATCACCAGGGCAACAGCTGAAATGGCTCCTGTTGCATACAGGTCATGGTTGAAGTGACTGCAAACAGGGCAAGTGCTGGGCAAACTCCCAGAAGCCAGGCAGCAGTATAGTCCCCTCTCAGAGCCCTCCCTCCACACAAAGCCACAAAGCAGTGAAGTGGGTTGCCCCACCTTGGTGATTACCTAAAGTTCCACCCTACACAATCTACAGATGCCCTTTACAGGGAGTCAAAGCCGCTCTACCTAATACACAGAAACAAACACAAGGAGGCTGTCAAATTGAGGAAACAAAGAAATATGGCCCAAATGAAAAAAACAGAGAAATGAACAGAGAAAAACAGAGAAATGAACAAAACCCCAGAGAAATGAACAAAACTGCAGAAAAATAACTAAACAAAACAGAGACAGCCAACCTATCAGATCAGATGCAGAGTTCAAAACAGAGGTTTTCCAAGAACTCATTGAGTACAGCAACAACATAAAGGAAGAAATGAATGTTACACTAATTGAAATAAAGAAGAATCTACAGGGAACCAACAGTAAATGGAAGGAAGCCATGATTCAAATTTGTAACATAAGGAAGAAATAAACATTCAACCAGAACTGAAAGAAGAAATAAAAATTCAAAACAAGAAAAAAAAACAAGGATAGTAAAAGAATATTCTAGGACATCTCGAGATGTACCAATATCTGAATCATAGGGATGCCAGAAGGAGAGGAGGGAGAACAAGAAATTAAAATTTTATTTGAAAAAATAATGAAAGAATCCCTGGCTGGCGTAGCTCAGTGGATTGAGTGCGGGCTGCGAACCAAAGTGTCTCAGGTTCGATTCCCAGCCAGGGTACATGCCTGGGTTGCAGACCATGACCCCCAGCAACCCCACATTGATGTTTCTCTCTCTCTCTCTTTCTCCCTCCCTTACCTCTCTAACAATAAGTAAAATAAAATCTTTAAAAAAACAAAAAAGAGAGAAAAATCTTTATAAAAAATTTAAAAAATGAAAGAAAACTTCCTTAATTTGGTAAAGGAAATAGACATACAAGTCCAGGAAGCACAGAGAGTCCCTAACAAGTTGTACTCAAAGAGGACCACACCCAGACACATCATAATTACAATGCCAAAAGTTAAAGATAAAGAATCTTAAAAGCAGCAAGAGAAAAGCAGAGAGTTACCTACAAAAGAGTACTCATATGATTGTCATCTGATTTCTCAAAAGAAACCTTGCAGGCAAGAAAGGACTGGCAAGAAATATTCAAAGTTATAAAAAGCAAGGATGTACAACATAGATTACTCTTTCCAGCAAAGCTACCATTTAGAATGGAAGGGTAGATAAAGTGCTTCCCAGACAAGGTAAAGCTAAAGGAGTTGATCACCACCAAGCCATTATTACATGAACTGTTAAAGGGACTTATTTAAGAAAAAGAAGAAGATCAAAACTATGAACACTAAAAGCTCCACAAATTCACAACTATCAACAACTGAATCTAAAAAATTAAAATAAAATAAGCAAACAACCAGAACAGGAACAGAACCATAGATATGGAGATCATTTGGAGGATTATCAGCTGGGAGAGGGAAGAAGAATGGGGGAAAAGGGGCTAGGATCAAAAAGTATAAATGGTAGGTACAAAATAGAGAGGGGGATGTTAAGAATAGTATAGGAAATGGAGAAGCCAAAGAACTTATATGTACATGGACATGAGCTAATATGGGGAATTGCTAGAGAGAAGAGTGTACCAGGCAGGGGGTGCAAAAGGGGAAAACTTGAGACAACGGTAATAGCATAATCAATGAAATATATTTTTAAAAGATCCTAATCTATTTAAGTAATGTACTTTAAAAGAGTATTAAAATAGCCTTGAAGTATTACCAAATTCATTTTTAGAAACAAATATGAGGATTTTTAGTATCGCATGTTTGAAACTACTGAGAGGGTAGTTGATCTAGTTATTAAGTCAGAAGTCTGGTGATTGTTGGGAACACTATAGGTTTTTGTGAATTACAGCACTTAAACATATAAATTCTTAATACTGTTATTATTATGAAATGTAAGACACTAAATAATGTTTTTATGTTGATGGCATATTTCTAATAAACTAAAGCATGTAATAGATAATACAAATTTATGCTCAGTTTCTTTGATTCTTTACAGAAGCAGAAAACAAAGATAAGACTTCTATACTCCAGCAGCCAAAACAAGAAGAAGTGTTAGAACAGGGTATGTATGCTTACTTATGTAAAAAGGCCTATAAAGGTATTCATTATCAAAATGGACAACCACATATTAAAGCTATTAAGGTGTTTTTGGCCTTTATCTGCCTCCAACCCTATATATTGCTGTTTTTGTATAATGCATAATTCATAAGAAAATGGTCAACTGTTGCACTTTAGCATTGCAAGTACATTTCATTAGTGCAATTTAGTTTCATTAGATTCTTCTGTCTTTGTTTTAGTTTATTTAATATTGTAACCTTTACATATAGTGCAGATATAATCATTAGTGGTCTGCTTTTCAAATCTAATGACTTTTACCATTTAAATTCCTATGTATTTAGTACTGTGTGCTCATTAATTATAGTTGAGGGTTAAGAAAAAAACAAATTAAGAATTAAACCCACATCTTGCCTCTCTTAAGTCAATCTCTGCTTTCAGTAAGGTAGAAAGAATTCTTGTTTTATGAATTTGTAGTTTTGTGTTAAGTTGCCATCTGATGAGTTACAAAAGCATCGTCTGAGTTATTTGAAGTGGTACTCCCTGATGCTTGTGTGCCAAATACTGCCTGTGCTGGCACTGAAAAATTGCTCTACTGAATCTTCATTTATTGCCATTTGTTTGGAAGATAGTGCTTCGTGTTAGGTGTTGGAGAGTGTTATCAAGTTGTTTTTGGCCTAGATATGATGTATTTTAAAACATTAGTTTAATGTTAATGCAAACACATGTCCACTGGAACATATAATGTACAGGAAATAGACAGGCTTTTTCTATTAGCAACACTTAGGTATTTCTGACTTCGGATTTTGAAAACCACTATTGGAATTCTTCAAAATGTATTCTATTAAATCAAAGCTATCACTCTTGCACTAATAGTATTTTCAAAATTAAAGAATCCAAACTTTTAAAAGGAAAAAAATGCACTTTGAAAGGGGTATAGGGTAAACTGTAATATAAAAGTTTTTAAATTATGTGGAGTATATTCCACAACATCTAACATCTAACAAGCAGCCTTTAAAAAATACATCTTAGCTTAAAGTTGTTTCTATGTTTATGTTAAATCAGATAAGGGAGATGATTTTTATAGTGAATAGTGTACACTAAATTATTATACTAAACTATTGTATATCATTTAAAATAGCTAAATTTATCAAACCTGTGTATATATTTGTAAGGTAATCAGTAATTGCAACCCAAATAAAGTAGAATTAACAGTATTTACTATAATTGTACTGAAATTCAATCAGACTTAAAATCAGTCACTTTGGAATTGCACAGTCTTGAACGTATGCTTTTGAAGTAATTTGAGTCATCTTAGAATACGTTTCTTTATATATATTTTACTTATTTATTTTTTAGAGAGGGAAGGGAGGGAGATAGAGAGAGAGAGAGAGAAACATCAATGTGCGGTTGCTGGGGGTTATGGCCTGCAACCCAGGAATGTACCCTGGCTGGGAATCGAACCTGGGACACTTTGGTTCCCAGCCCGCGCTCAATCCACTGAGCTACGCAGAATACGTTTCTTGATACCAACATTTGTAGTACAATTTGGAATGCGGACACCATTTAGTAGATGCATTTTGTAAAACAGTAATTTGCTATGGAAATTGAGGCTGGATTGTGTTTTCTTTCTGAATTGAGTTGACTCGATCAAAAAAAAACATTGAAACCTCTGGAAGATTAAAAACCCAGGGGTTTTGGAGAAGAGGAAACTTAATTGTTAAATTTCATCTGTTATTTGCAAATAATAGGATTTAGGGTGTGTAATACACGACTGCAAACCAAATCCTTTAAAACACTCTTATATTTTGCCATTCATTTATTTACCCTTCTGTGTTTGAGTCCATATAGTAGTAAGAAGTTTAAATATACCAGAAGTTTTACTGGTTCTAGAAAAGAATTCTGTGAAAACATAAGAAATGATTTTCGTTTAGCTACTGTTTTCCTCTTCTTAGGAATGAAAATGCTGTAAAGTGATTTCACTTGGGAAGTAAAAACATTATTCACACTCATTTTCATTAGTCTGCTTCTGTTTTGTTTGTTCATTTACATTGTTCTTTAGATTCTGCATGCAAGGGAAATCATATAGTATTTGTCTTTCTCAGACTGACTTATCTTACTTAGAATAATATCCTCTAGCTGTCCATCTATGCTATTGCAAATGGTAAGATTGCATTCTGTTTTATGGCCAAATAATAGTCTATTGTGTAAACATACCGCCATCTTTTTATTCATTCATCTACTGAGGGACACTTGGGCTGCTTCCATATCTCAGTGATTGTAAATAACATTGTAATGAACATAGTGGCAAATATATTTTTCTGAATTAGTGTTACAGATTTCTTCAGACATATACCCCAAGGTGGAATTGCTGGGTCACAAGGCAGTTTCATTTTTAATTTTTTGAGGGCCCTCCATACTGTTTTCCATAGTGGCTGCACCAATCTGCCTTGCCACCAAAATGCATAAAGTTTCCCCTTTCTCCACATCCTCACCACATACTCACCAACACTTATTGTTTGTAGATTTATTGATGATGGCCATTCTGACAGGTGTGAAGTGATATTTCATTGTGGTTTTAATTTGTACCTCTCTGAGGATTAGTGACAGTGAGCATCTTTTCATATGTCTCTTGGCCATCTGTATGTCCTCTTTGGAGAAGTATTTATTCAGGTCCTCTGCCCATCTTTTAATTGGATTGTTTGTGGGTTTTTCTGATGTTGAATTGTATGAGTTCTTTATAAATTTTGCACATTAACCCTTTCTCATATATATCAGTGGCAAATATCTTCTCCCATTCAGTAGGTTGGCAAGCACAATTTTTAATCCCTACCCATACTCTTTTGAAAATAACCTGTTTGCTTATTGGTGAGCTTATCTGTAAATGACTTGATTATGCCTGCCTGCCTTCCTGCAGAATAACCCTAATGAATATTTAAAACACACTGAAAAGTGCCCATCTCATAACACTGTGAGTGAAGACTTACCTATCTATGTAGTAAGTAGAGTAAGCTAAACAATGAGCCCCAATTAGACATTGATTCCAGGTGGAGAAAATGAATCCTAGAAGAATGAAGATGATGGTGTCACATTTTCCAGCGCAGATGCACACACACATCCCTCACATGTATGTAAATTGTTGGCACTTTGAGGAAGCTAAAGTATGTTTTATATGTCCCCTTTATTTTTTATCTGTTATGACTTCTTATATATGAGCTTTGTATCAGCATTATTAGGCAAGGAATTTGGGCTGCAACTAAGAGGTTCACTTACTAGCTGCATTTAAGAGTTCTGACTTGGAGTGTTTCTCCCCTTTAAAATTCAGAGTAGAGTTGTAGCATTGAAATTTATGTTAGTTGTGTTGGAAAGATGTGCTATATTAAAAAAAACTCAAGGCAGACTTGAAAGTCAAATTCTATAATACCAGTGTGTCCTTCTTATTGAACATTACACTGTGGACAGAATTTCTTTCTGTGCAGAAAGGGCCTTTTACATGTTTTATTCAGTTTGCTTCCAACTCCTCTGCGTGTAGTCTTTGTGCTCTCACGCAATCAATCTTTCTACTCAAAGGTCAACATGAGCTACTGTATTCCCAAGGCAGGGAAACTATGACAAAAATACAATTTGTTGAGGGAAAACACTTCATGACCCCAGGTAGTTAAAGGTCTTCAGGTACTTTCTGTGAAACTGTTCCTTCACAGTGGTTTTATGCTAATCGAAAATGAATAACCATCAGCATGTTTTATCAAGTAAGGAGAATCAAAGAAACAAGTTAAAATGACAGCAGCCTACTGTATATATTGTTAAAGTAACAGCTGATAAAGTATGAGAACTGTGAAACAAAGGCCAGGCTTAGTAGCTAAAATTTTTGTTTCTTTGCTTTGTTCAAAACAGGATATGCCCTTTATTTCTTAATAAAGTGTAAATGGTTTTAGTAGGATCTTCTTAGCTAATACTAAGCACTCTTGATGCCACTTTGCTGTTTTAAAGAAAATACAATTCTTATTTGTATTCCCATTCACTAAAAACTTATTGGTTTGTATGATTTACGAGCAGCTCCTAAGTCTTTATTTATTGAACTCATCTATCAAACACAATACTATATGCCCCGCTCCCCCCAAGGCTCTGGGAAGCTGAGTGAATGCTGTTTTGAATTGGTTTCCTAATAACAGAATAGGCAGATGTGCATGATCATTTATCACATGGTTGGGCTTTCTGATATGGCTCTGTGTGCTTGGTAGCTGCAAAAGCCACCTCTAATTTCTCCTTTTTAAATATTTGCCTCATTTTTCTTTAAAGTAATTTATGATTGTTTTTGAATCAGATGAGTCTTGTAAAAGGAAAAAAGTTCATTTTGTTTTTGATCCTTCAGCTGTTCATCATGATTGTTTTATTTCTCTAAGGCTAGAAGGATTAATGTTGTGGGTCAGTAATAAGTAAACAGTCAATAAACCAAGTAGATTTTAACCAGAGGAAAAGTCACCTGTGACTTAGTCATAAAGCAAAACATCAAAATCTAAAAAGAAATGCTTTTTTTAATTCCTCATATTCATGTCATGAATCAGTTGTATTTACAAGGTTGCAGTCTCAGTAGTTTGGCTACTTGGCATATTTTGTCAGTGGTTAAACTGCTGATGAAAATCCTACTTACTCTCCTTGTACCGGAGAAATCACGAGTAATACAGTAGCACAAGCTGTTTGTTTTAGGTAATGAAGTACTAGTGATGTATGTGGGAAGTGGGAGTTTATATTCTGAAAGATTACCAAGAGGTTCTTGATCATTTTTAAAATAAAAATGCCTGCCACAATTAAGATGTAATGCTGTCTAAAAGTAGTGATATGTATTTTTTCATCCAATAATCTTAAAGTATTCATTTTTTAAGAACCTCATGGGGCAATTTTTTCAATATATGTTTCTATCTATTTTAGTTTGACTTCAACATATCCTGAGAGTGAACCAGAGAAATTCCCATGCTGGTGGCAGGGGAGAGGGAGTGATCCCTGCTA